AACCCCAAGCATTCCAGGTGGGATTTTAGGGATAAGTTCTTCCCTGGGATGGTGATGAAACCCTGCCAGAGGTTATTCCATGGCTGCCCCATCCCTGGAGTGTCCCAGGGGTGACCTGGGGCAGTGGGAGGTGTCGGAAAAGGGGGTTTCCAAGCCAATTCCATGATTCCGTGTCTGACTCCGGACCCTGTCCTAGGATGGGAGGAATTCCAGCCCGGAATTCCCGGGGGGAGAGGCTGCTGCTCTACATCGGCATCATCGACGTGTTGCAGTCCTACAGGTAGGTAATTAATTAATTAATGGGTTAATTAAATACCTAAACCACGGATAAATCTTTTTAAAAATTGTTTTATTTTTATTATAATTTATTATAATAAATTATATTTTATTTTTAGAATAAATAAGATTAAAATTAGAATAATAATTATTATATTTTATTATTGTGATTATATAATATATATTATATAATATTATCTAATATATAATATCTTATAATTATATAATTATATAGTTGTAATATATTATTTATTATAATTATATAATACATTACTATATATTATATTATTGTATATAATATTTTATAATTATATATTATAATTAATGAAATATGTTATTTTATAACAAATAATTATAATATAAATTATAGTTTATTTCTATAAAATATTATAATTATTATATTCTATTATTATATTGTATATATGTATTATTTGATAATATATAAAATTACAGTTACATATTATAATTAATAATATATATTATTTTAATGAATAATTATAATATAAATTCTAGTTTATTTCTAGAATAAACAATAATATAATTATAATTATTATATTTAATATATAATTATAATTATTTTATTATTGGAAAACAACAGTGAAACTTTCTTCTGTTTTTATTAATGTCTTTTAATATTTAATATTTAATTTTTGAAACAGATTTAAATAATTAATTAATAAATAATTAGATTTATTTATTTAAATAAATCTATCCACTTAAATAAATATTAAGTACTAATGTAATATTAATTATATTAATATTAATATATTGATGCACTCTATTACTTTAATATTAATATTTAATATTTAAATAAAATATATTAATACAATATATTAATTTAAATATTCATATTGAATAAAAATCAAACAAATATTCAAATAAAATGTTTGTAAAAATATATTAATATACTATTTTAATTTAATATTAATGTTCAATAAAAATTAAACCAATATTTAAATAAAAGATTTATAAATAAAATATTTAATTTTTTTAAAAATTGTCCTTTTTTTGTTACCAGGTTTGTGAAGAAGTTGGAGCACTCCTGGAAGGCCCTGGTGCACGATGGGGTGAGTGGGAAACAGCCCTTTTTTTAGGGGAAAAAACCACTTTTTTAAACCTTTTCCAACCACTCTGGGCTCAGAATCCCTGGATTTCCCAGGCACAAAAATATCCTGTTCAGAAATAGGTGGGTTTATTTTAATTTCTCTATTTTTTGCTGTTATTTCCTGGCTGATATTTGGATTTTTTGCCCCTCCAGGACACAGTCTCTGTGCACAGGCCCAGCTTTTATGCTGAGAGGTTCCAACGTTTCATGTGCAACACGGTCTTCAAGAAAATCCCACGTGAGCCTTTGGAATTCCTTTCTTTCCCTGTTTTTCTCCCTGTTTTTTTTTCCCCAGAGCTAAAAAAATATATTAAGAAAAATTAAAATATTTAAAAAAAAATTAAAATGTTAAAAAATTAAAATATAAGAAAAATTTGAGATATAAAAAAATTAAAATGTATATGTAAAAAATTAAAATATAAAAAAGGAAAATATTTTTAAAAGAAAAATACTTTAAAAATTAAATATTTAATATTTTAAAATTAAAATATATAAAAATTAAAATATCAAAAATTAAAATATTAAAAATTAAAATATTAAAGATTATTTAAGAAAATTAAAATACTAAAAATTTAAGAACTAAACATATATATGTATTAAAAAGAAAAAATTAAATATGGAAAAAATTAAAATATTAGAAAATTAAAATATAAAAAATTTAAAATACTAAAAAAATTAAAATATTAAAAATTAAAGTAAAAAAACTAAAATATAAAAAAAAAGAAAATTCCACATCAGGCTTTGAATTTCCCTTCTTTCCCTACTTTTCTCCCTGGGTTTTTTTTCCCCAGAACTAAAAAAAAAAAAATTAAAAAAAAGGTTAAAAAAATTAAAATATTTTAAAAAAATTTAAAATATATAAAAAATTAAAATATAAAAAATTAAAATATAAAAATTAAAATATAAAAATTAAAATATTAAAAATTAAAATATAAAATTTTTAAATATTAAAAATTAAAATATAAAAATTAAAATATAAAAATTTAAACATTAAAAATTAAAATATAAAATTTTTAAATATTAAAATTTTTTAAATATTAAAAATTAAAATATTAAAAAATTAAAATACAAAAAATTAAAATACTAAAAAAATTAAAATACTAAAAAAATTAAAATACTAGAAAAATTAAAATACTAGAAAAATTAAAATACTAAAAAAATTAAAATACTAGAAAAATTAAAATACTAGAAAAATTAAAATACTAAAAAAATTAAAATACTAAAAAAAATTAAAATATTTTAAAAAATTTAAATTATTTAAGCCCCCCCCTGTTTTTCCACCCCAACACTTCCCTCTGTCTCTCCAAACCCCTTTTTTCAGTGCCTGAATAAGTCCCAAAAATTGCTTTTTTTTGGTGTTTTTGCCTGGCAGTGAAACCCTCCCCTTCCAAGAAGAGCCGGAGCGGGCCCGCGATTCCCAGACGGAGCTGCCAGGGGGGGATCCCAGCCCAGCTCCACGGGGGCTCCGACCCCAAAGCACAAGTGACCACGGAGGCAGACGTGGAGCAAGGTTGGAAAAATCCCCAAAATCTCCCCTTTTCCAGCTTTTTAGCCGACTGGAGCTTCCTGCCTCCGGAGCGGGGCGGGAAAAATAGGAAAGAAAAACCTGGTTTCCGGGTTTCCTGGGGTGTCTCCAGTGGGACCCCAAACCCTGGGAATGGTGGGACAGGAACAGGGGATTCTCCACATTCCAGGGGGTTCTCCAATGGGATCACAAGCCCTGGGATTGTGCTGGTGGTGGGACAGGAACATGGGGATCTCCACATTCCAGAGGTGTTTCCAGTGGAATCCCAAGCCCTGGGAATGGTGGGACAGGAACAGGGGGTTCTCCACATTCCAGAGGTGTTTCCAGTGGGATCCCAAGCCCTGGGAGTGGTGGGACAGGAACAGGGGGTTTTCCAGATTCCTGGGGTGTCTCCAGTGGGATCCCAAACCCTGGGAGTGGTGGGACAGGAACAGGGGGTTCTCCAGTGGGATCCCAAGCCCTGGAATTGTGCTGGTGGTGGGACAGGAACGGGGGGTTCTCCACATTCCAGAGGTGTTTCCAGTGGAATCCCAAGCCCTGGGAATGGTGGGACAGGAATGGGGGATTCTCCAGTGGGATCCCAAGCCCTGGAATTGTGCTGGTGCTGGGACAGGAACAGGGGGATCTCCACATTCCAGGGGTGTCTCCAGTGGAATCCCAAACCCTGGGAGTGGTGGGACAGGAACAGGGGATTCTCCAGGTTCCTGGGGTGTCTCCAATGGGATCCCAAACCCTGGGAGTGGTGGGACAGGAATTGGGGATTCTCCACATTCCAGAGGTGTCTCCAGTGGGATCCCAAGCCCTGGGAGTGTTGGGACAGGAACAGGGGGTTCTCCACATTCCAGAGGTGTCTCCAGTGGGATCCCGAGCCCTGGGATTGTGCTGGTGGTGGGACAGGAACAGGGGGTTCTCCAGGTTCCTGGTTTGCCTCCAATGAAATCCCAAACCCTGGGAGTGGTGGGACAGGCACAGGTCTCCAGGTTCCTGGGGTGTCTCCAGTGGGATCCTGATCCCTGGAATTTTGCTGGAACACATTTCAGGGTCCCACCTCGGCCGCCCGGATCTCCTGCCCCGGACTCTGCCCGTGGACGAAGCCAACAGCGACTCGGTGGCCACCACCCTGTCCACGTCCTCCCTGGGCAGTGGGGGCCTCAATTCCCCTGCCAACAGGTGAGGATGGAACTCCTGGGATCCTTCCCGAGCCTTTGGAGCCCCTCTGGAATGTTCTGGGCCGGGGGCCGTGCGGGGGGGGTTCCAGAGTGTTCCCGAGTGGGAACGTCCCTGTTCCCATCCCTGAGTGTCCCTGTCAGGTTCTTGCTGCTTCTTGTTGGGTGGCTTCTGCTTCCCTGGGGGAGTCATGCTTTTAATCTCATTAATTTTAATCTAATTAATGAATTATTGTGGATTATTTGGGGTTAATTTGGCCTGGACTGGGGGGGGAGCTCGCGCTGGTCCAGCGAGGTTTTGTTCCCAAAATTTGTGTGATGAGGTTCAAGGTGTGACCTTTCCAGAGGGTTGGGATCTTCTGGGACTCCAGGAGGGCTTAGCACTGAGCTCCCACAGCTCCCAAATATCCTGGAATTGCCTGGAACCTTCTGGAAAGCCCATGGAACCTTCTGGAAAGCGCCGCCCCGGGCTCGTTTTTAGACCCGGAGGGCTGATTTTTTTAGGGTTTAGGTGTTTTTTTTGTGGTTTTTTTGGCTTCCTCCACCCGAAGCTTTGCCCCAGGAATGCCCAAGGAATATTCCCGTGGCTGGGAAGAGCAGGGGCCCCTGGATCTGTGGTTTATTGACCTCTTAAAAACTGCTTTACAGGTGTCCCCCCCCTTCTGTTTCCCCAGCGGCTCCCCCGGCCCCTCCATCCCCGAGCGCTCCCTGGAGCTGAGGGAGCAGCTCCAGGACCTGCAGGAGACAGAGATCAGCTTTGTGAGTATTCCCAGAGGGAAAAGGCAGCCCGGGGAGGGATCAGGAGGGAGGATTTTGGGACTGGTGTGATCCCTGTGCTGTTGGGAACATGGAATTTGGGAGCGGGGCAGGAGCAGCTCTTCACCCCTCACCAAATCCACCTCCGTGCTCCTGGGGGTGGATCTGCTGCCCCAGGAGTGGATTTGGGAATCAGATAAAAAGGGAGGGAATCAGAGAAAACCCGGGATTGGATAAAAAGCAGGGAATTCCCTCCTTCCTGAGTGCCTGGGATTGTGCTGGTGGTGGGACAGGAACAGGGGGCTCTCCACATTCCAGAGGTGTCTCCAGTGGGATCCCAAGCTCTGGGAGTGGTGGGACAAGAACAGGGGGTTTTCCAGTGGGATCCCAAGCCTTGGAATTGTGCTGATGGTGGGACAGGAACAGGGAGTTCTCCACATTCCAGAGGTGTCTCCAGTGGGATCCCAGGTGGGCTCTGGAACACCCAGGGTGACTCTTCCCAGGCTCATCTCATCTCCACTTTTATTCCAGATGGGACCGAGGGGGGTAAACACAACCTCAGCACCCCCTCCACTCCTTTCCCAGGGCGGAGAATTTTCGGGAATTCCTTCCCTGAGGTGTTTTCCCTGCTCACCTTGTCCCTGTTTTCCCCTCCCCAGTGAATCTGCACCGACAGCGCCGCGATGGACCCGGGTTTGTCCCCACAAACCCTCCTTTCTCCTCCCGTTTTTTAAAACTCTCCGGACAAATTCCTGGAAGCTGGAAGGTCCTGGATACATCTGGGATGGTGTTAAAGCCCCAGCTGAGCCTCCTGGGGCACCTGGAAGTCTCCTCACCACTCCCCCCCCCGTGGATTCTCCTGCCTCGGAATCCCGCTGGGAAGAGGAGGAGGAGGAGGAGGAGGAGGATGGAGCTGCTCCATAAAACCCTTTGGGAAAAGGGATCTGACTTTTCAGGGAGTTACACCATAAAAAAAAAAAAACCCTCCCTGGGGAATTCCCAGTGGGAAAAAAGGGCATTGGAGCCTCCTCAGTGCCAGAAGAAAACGGGATTTCTTTTGTATCTTCGACCAGGGTTTTTTTTTTTTAATTTAATTGCTCCTCCCAGATCCAATCCCGTCCCTTTTTTTAGTGCTGCAAGTCCAGGAATTCTTAGGATATTTTATTAATAAAGTAGGGTTTGGTTTGGTTTTTTTTCCCAGTGTTTGCACCAGGAAACATCCCGTGGGAGCAGAACCCAAGAAAAAAGCTCTTGGCCTCTCCTCCCTTCTCCACCTCCCAGGATTTTTGGGATCAGGGAGGATTTGGGAATCTCCCCGGTTTTTAAGCTCCTCCCTTCCTGGGATTTGCAGGTGAAGGGGCACTTTTTTTAAAAGTTTTTCCTAAAAAAAAAAAACAACAAAAACCAAAACACCAAAAGAGGACCAAACCCACCTGCTCCAATCCCTTCCCTGCCTCCCATCCCTGTTTTTATAACTCGGCTCCTTTTGATATCCCACCTGGATCCCAATCGAAGCCAAAATTCCCGAGGCCGAAACGGGACAGAAATCCCAAAAATTCCGGGTGTTTTTGAAGCTGATTTTTTTTTAAAAAACATTTTATTTTAGGGGGTTTAAGAAGGAGGAGCTGCAAGGAGGGATTTTCCTGCTGCCACGTGCCTCTGGATCCCTTTGGACACCCCCTGAGTCTCTCCCAGATCCCGGAGCAGACCTCGGACTCGGATGTTTTATTTTCACTTTAAATGGTTGTTTTTTTAAAGGCAAAAAAAAAACCCCAAAAAACCAAAAAAAAAAAAAAGGAATGAACTGACTCTTCAAGGTTGGAAACCTCCCTTTTTTTTTTTGTTACAGAGCTTTGAAAAACCCAAGGAATTTATAAATATTCCTCTGGGAATTTTCCTCAAGGAAGCGACGAATGTAGAGCAGAAAAGGAGTTTTTTTTAGTTGATATTCCAGAGTTTCTCTTCCCAACTCCCCCTTCCCTTTTTTTTAAGGAAAAGCTGGGGGTTTTTTTGGTTGTTCTTTTTAAAAAAAATGTCCTTTTTTGCTCCAAAAAAGCCCACGTGGAACGGCCTTACCTTGGGGGGGTGTGGAGCAGGAGTTTGGATCTCAAAGGGCTCCTCCAACCCTTCTCCAATCCTGCTGGATTTTTTTTTCCCCCCTTTCTCCCAGCAGATTTCCCCACTTTCTCCCTGGAATAACTGTCTATATTAGACACTTTTTTTTCCCTTTCCCTCCCAGCTCAGATTGGTTCCTTGTTTTTTTGGTTTTTTTTGATAAAAAACAACCCCAAGGCTCCTTTTTTTTGGTTTTTTTTGTTTTTTTTTTCAGGACTTAATATTTATGAAGCTGTATTTAAGTGTGGGATTTCAATCCCTTTTTTTTTTCCTGGGAATAATCCACCCAGGAATTGGGAATGGGGGGCAGGGGGGGTTGTTTGTATCTCTGCTTTGTTACTGGTGTTTCAAAACTGCCTTTTAATTTTTTTTCGGGTGCGCGTGTCCCGAAACGGCCGGAATTTGGGAATTCTGGGGGGGGCTTTTTTCCCCAGTGATGCTGCTCTGGCTTCTGGATGGACACCAGGGGATGGGATGTGGAGCATGGATGGACCTTTCCTGATCTAGGGATGGACCTCTGCTGTCCTTGGGAGGAACCTCTTCTTGTCCTGCTCGGTGTCACCATCGCCTTTGTCACCCCTGGGACACCCAGGAGGGTCACCAGGAGCTCTGGATGGACACCAGGGGATGGAATATGGATGGATGGACCTTTCCTGACCTGAGGATGGACCTGTCCTGTCCTTGGGATGGACCTTTCCTGTCCTTGGAATGGACTTCTCCTGTCCTTGGGATGAACATCTTCTCATCTGGGGATGGACTCTCCTGTCCTGCTCGGTGTCACCATCACCTTTGTCACCCCTGGGACACCCAGGAGGGTCACCAGGAGCTCTGGATGGACACCAGGGGATGGAATGTGGATGGATGGACCTTTCCTGACCTGAGGATGGACCTCTGCTGTCCTTGGAATGGACCTCTCCTGTCCTTGGGATGAACCTCTCCTGTCCTGGGGATGGACTCTCGTGTCCTGCTTGGTGTCACCATCACCTTTGTCACCCCTGGGACACCCAGGAGGGTCAG